TTAATCTTACTTCAAAAATGCTATAGTGGATATCCTTATGCAGATGTATCATTTCTTTTAAGTATGCATATCCGAAGCATATACATCTGAAAGCAAAATCCCAAGGTTGGAGAATATGTGCATTTTTAATTTTGTAAGACACTAGAAATGCTCCAATACATCATTTTTGTATCATTCATTTTCCCTAAACACAGATCATGTTGTTGCTTTCTGTAAAGTCTTGACTGGCTCTTCCTTTACCTTTGAATTGAGGTCTCTTGAGTCTACAAATACTTACAGCGCTCTTGCTGTGCATGCCAGATACTGGAGTTACAAAGATGAGTATGATAATTCTTGCACTAAAGGTGCTCATAATCTAACAGGTTAGACTGTGATTTCTCAACCTCTGCACTGTTGATATTTTGGGCCTGGTGATTCTTCATTGTGGGGTTGTCCTCTGCATTGTAGGATATTGAGGAGCATTCCTGACTTACCCTCTAGACGCTGGTAGCACTCTGTACCCCCTGCAGTTGTGACAGTAAAAAAAAATGGCTTCACACATTTGCCACATGTCCCCTGGAGGACAGTTCTTCATCTCCCCCTTAAGAATCATTGGGTTAGACAGACATGCACACAATTCTAGTATAATGTGATAAATGGTATGTTAACATTGAACCCCACAGCACTTTAGAAACAGGAATAGTGGAGTAACCTTCAGGTTGACATCTTTCAAGACTTAGCTCAGATACTACCTTATCCCGCAGCCTTCCTTTCTTCTTGCCAGCTTTGAATTACTGCTTGTTTAATAGCCCTTGTCCTTTGTCTCGTATTATAGCTAACATGTATTTCTTGTTTTGGAATTGGGCAGTCATTTCTTACTCATCTTTTTTTTCCTCCTTTTTTTTTAAATGGATAAAATGAAGAGATACCAGTAATAGATACAGAATAAACGTAGATTTGTGTGGAAATGTATAATGTAAATTTTACCTTAAATTTTACCTGTTTGCTTGCTTGCTTTTTTTTTTTTTTTTTCTTCTTGGAGACAAAGTTTAGCTCTTGTTGCCCAGGTGGGAGCACAGTGGCGGCACTATCTCGGCTCGCTGCAACCTCTGCCTCTTGGGTTCAAGCGATTCTCCTGCCTCAGCCTCCCGAGTAGCTGGGATTACAGGTGCCCGCCACCATGCCTGGCTAATTTTTGTATATTTAGTAGAGACAGGGTTTTACCATGTTGACCAGGCTGGTCTTGGAACTTTTGACCTCAGGTGATCCACCCTCCTTGGCCTCCCAAAGTGCTGGGATTATAACTTTGTTCAGATGTGAAAGTTGCATTCTGTTTGTTTCATACTTCTACCAATTCTGTAATTGTGCTAAATTTGTAGCTTTTTAAAAACTCTTGACGTTCAGAATTATGTTTCAGAAGCCAACATATAAACCTGTGACGGAAGAAACTTAAGAGAAGCAAAAGGAACGTTAGGTTTAGTCTTACCTGCATATGAGAGAATTTAGGAGAATTAAATGACTTGCCTCAAAGTCATTTTTTAACACTGTAGATTTTGTTTATTTTTATTCTAATGACATGATGAGAGATTTTTAAAACGTAAATTCTTTATCTTTGAGCAGTACATAATGAAATATTTGCAGATGAAATGTTATATCTGGGATTTGTTTCAAAATGGCAGTTTGGGTTATACATGAAATACAGTTGTCCCAGAGTTTGTGGAATTTGGGTGATGGGCACATGGGAGTTTGTTACACTTTTCTACTTTGGTATATATTGGAGATTTTCTAGAATAAAAAGGTTTTGAGAATGTGAGTTTTAGCCTCATGTTTTTAATGAGTAGAAAATTTGGATTAAAAATATTATAAAATTTCTTTTTAAACATTTTTTTCCTCAGACTTTAGTGAGCATCAGAAGGATTATTTAAAAACTTTTTTTCAAGAAATTTAACGTTAACTAAGATTGGACTTTAATTTTGGTTCCAACATCTCCTGTGATGTTTGGGTTAGTAAACTTTGTTCATAGTAACAGCTTGGGCAGGGTTTGAATACTTCCTTGATTCACAAGTGGAAGACGATTTTATGGTTCTGTTGTGAAAGCCTTGAAGATGAAGTTTTTACTGTTTAGGCTATTTTCCTGCATTATCTCTTGTGTTAATGAAGAAGGTAGTTGATAAATTTCAGGGAATAGCCAGTCACATAAAGCTGCAGTAGAAGTGTTCTTGGTTTTTCTTGCATATGAAGGGGAAAGTCAGATACATTTTTAATAAATCTCTTTGCTGCTTTCATTTGGCAGCCTTGTTTGGGCACGGGGATAATAAAGCCTCAAGAACTTGAGAGAGCGGGTGAACAAGTTTCTTACATTGAAACTATTTAGTCAAATATGTACTTTTTTTGTATTGTCTGTAAAAGTATGTACCTATTCATTTTCTCAGGAAGCTTACAGATTTATTGGAGTAAGATAGATACATGGAGCAGTAATCAGTATAAATCGGTGTATGCAATATAAATCAATGTAATAAGTCACTAAATTGCGTGATACAGATAACTGTGTAGAATTTCAGAGGAATAGAAAATCAAAGAAGGCTCCAGGAGACCTAATAGAGAAGAGAGAAGAGAAGGTTAATGGGGAATCTAGATTTGTATAGGTAGAGAGATGAGAGGAAGATGTTTACTAACAAGGTCTAAAAAAAAAAAAAAAAATAGAGGCAAGGCAAAGCATTTCTCCAAAAATGGTTTGTAAGATATTAATAGGTGTTATTAAATGTTATAAAAATGCTCATTAGCATGTTAAAAGTTTCTGAGAAATTCTGTGGGAAATGAACCTATTTAAGGAAAGGAAGCAGCATTTTTTTCTTTTTTAGATTATACCTCTGTAGTGATCAGTATTTCATTGGGTTAATTGTGAGGAACTACTTTGGGAAATGCTGTTATAGCATGTATAGAAATCTAGGCGGTTTGGTGACTAGTGCTGATAGGACACATTTGAATAAGTATGGTGAGAGAATGAAAAGCACTGAATACTATTGGTGAGGGTTTCACTATTTTTAACCTTACTTAAGTAGTCCATGAAAGTTTTTGAACAGAGGAATAATGTGAGTAAATCAATGCTTGGAAGACATATCTCCAGAACAGAGTGGAATGGGAAGAAACTAGCACCAAAGAAGGTAGGAGCGGGGCCAGGCGTGGTGGTTCACTCCTGTAATCCCAGCACTTTGGGAGGCCAAGGCAGGTGGATCACCTGAGGTCAAGAGCAGCCTGACCAATATGGTGAAACCTTGTCTTTACTAAAAATACAAAAAAATTAGCCAGGTGTGGTGGCGTGCGCCTGTAGTCCCAGCAACTCGGGAGACTGAGACAGAATTGCTTGAACCCAGGAGGCAGAGGTTGCAGTAAGCCGAGATTGCGCCACTGCACTCCAGCCTGGGTAACAGAGCAGGACTCCGTCTCAAAAAAAGAAGGTGGTAACGGGCCACTTTAGTTAAATGGAGGAAGGAAGGAAGGAAGAATGCCAGGCATTTCAAAATACGGATTTATAGGATTGGTGATTAACTATCAGGAATACAAGAGATGAATCCATTGTTTTAAAGTTGTATCATTGGCACATTTGTGAGGGGAAAACTGATCTGGTGACCCCAAAATGATAGTAGTTTGAATGGATTGAATTTGTGGTTGAAATAATTGTTGCTAGCAGAGATGGAGGGCTGAGCCTAGGACAAAGGAATGGAATTCTGTAGGAGAGGGGTGATAGACACAATTGAGGTCAGGAGAATTGATAAAACTGAACAAGGGAATTATAAAAAGGAAGATGCTTTGGGAAATTTTGGGGGGGGTGGAGTGGGGACCATAAAACTTATTAGCATCAGTAAAACATGCAGGAAATGTGTATTTTCTACCATTTCTAAGATACTCTTTTGGGATAGTAAAGTTTTAGTGGGTAATATATTTCTTTGGGTAACAGGAAAACAGGATTTCTCTTTCGCCTGACATTTGGCGTTGGAAAGTTTAGTTTGGACTCAGCTGATTAGTTTGGTGTTGGTGGTTTTGTTGGTTGGGTTTTGGTTTTGTCTTACTATTTTCCGTCAGGAAAGCATCTACATGAATTGTCTGTCAATTCTAGATATCACCTCTGCTTTATTTAAAAGAGCTTCTTTTAGCCTGAACTGATCATTAATAAGTTAGAATACCCAGCTTTGTATTTTTTGGAAACAGCGTCTCACTCTGTCGCCCAGGCTGGAGTGCAGTGGCATGATCATAGCTTACTGCAGCCCCGAACTCCTGGGCTCAATCAGTTCTCCCGCCTCGGCCTCTAATTTACAGGTGTGTGAGTCATTGCACCTGTCCTAGAACATCGACTTTAAAACAGGTTTTGTAAGAAAGAATTAATTGCTGGTATCTGATACCAGTTAACATATCAGTACACTTATTCCCTAAGGAAAATTTGCCGCTATATTTACATAAGCCCTTCTTTTTGGTGCTTTTTTATTTTCTGCCACTTAAAGTATTTAATTCCTGTTACTTCATGTAATTCAGCCATTCATTACCTTGGATCCTTTTATATGCCAAAATTCCTTCTTGAATGTTTAAGTGAAGATGGAATAGAATGTATTTATTTTTAGAAGAAAGTTTCAGCCTTAGAACTGTAAAAGCAAAGCTTTTGACCTTGAAGGTAATACCTTATATTTGTTGATAAATAAGTAGAGAGCTGATTTAAAATTTTTTATTTACTTTTTATGTTTTACAGTGATGGGGTCTTGCTGTGTTGCTCAGGCTGGTCTTGAACCCCTGGCCTTGGGTAATCCTGTGTGCCTCCTGAAGTGCTGGGATTACAGGCCTGGCAGTTGACTTTCTATGTTACAGTGTTAATAAATGGCAGAAGTTAACTTTAAAGGGTGTAAGGAAATCTTTTTGAAAATTGGTGAAAATATCTTTAGTTTTGATTAGCATTATGTCATTTATTATTTCCTGCTTTCTCCCTACTTTTTATAAATAGTTTTTTTCACTCCTATTTAATTTTCTTTCAGCCTACGCTTGTTTCAACAGCAGTAACCACTCAAAAAGACTTGGTAAGAAAGTTTTAAAGAGGATTTGAAGTACCTGATGGCCAAAATGAATTTTAAAAAATTGTATTTGATGTCTATTCCCATTTTTGCTTTTTTTCCATTCTAATCAGTTAAGTTTTTGCTCTTATATTTTTAGAGGCAAGTTCTCTCTCACCCAGAGTGGAGTACAGGGGTACAATTATAGCTCACTGCATCCTCAAACTCCTGGGTTCAAGGGATCCTACTGCATTAGCCACCTGAGTAGGTGGGACTACAGGTGCCCAGCACTGTGCCTTGCTAATTTTTTTATGATTTGATTTTTTGTAATGGTGGAGTCTCACTATGTTGCCCAGGCTGGTCTTGAGCACCTGGGCTCAAGCTATCCTCCCACCTCTGCTTCCCAAGTACTTGGGACTACATAATCCAACTCTTATTTCCTCTTTTCATTTGCTTTTATTAAATCTTCAGGAATTTTGTTGAAGGGCAAATGATGTTCCATGGTAAAGAAATTTTGTCTTAGATTTACTGTTTGATCTAGTTAGTAGTAGTAGTTTATTCAAGTAGAGCTCTACCACTTTATCATTTCATTTGCTTTTTGAAGCAGGCTTATATCAGAACAAAAGGAAAATAAAGGTAGAATTTATTGAAAACATAGTTTGAAAGTTTTAAATTGTGATTTTATAAAGGTTATTTTACAAATGTTTTATTTTTTTATATATATATATATATAAAATTTTATAAATGTTCTTTGTACTGTCTTCCTAATATATCTGGTTCTCTTCTTCACCCAAGTTGGGTGTAGCCATGGAGCTTGCTTTGGCCAATGAAATATGTCATGGTGATTGATCCATTAGTCAAGAAAGCATGCAGTACACCCTCAGCTGATTTATGATGGATATGAATAAAAAATAGACCTTTGTTTTAAGCCACTGTGATTTGAGAGGTTGTTAGTACAACTTAATTTGCCCTGCTCTGTTATATAGGGGAGCCACTAGCCCTGTGATGCTGTTAAGCACTCGGAAATGTGGCTAGACTGAATTGAGATGTGCTGTTAAGTGTAATAAAATACAAACTGAATTTTGAAGTTTTAGTATAAAAAACAATGTAAAACATTTCATGAATAATTATTATTGATAAAAGATTGGAATTTAATTCTTTGGATATATAGGCATGCTTTATCGTGCTTCACAGATACTAAAATAAAAATGAAGGATGTGGCAACCTCATGTTTGAGCAAGTCTGTTGACCCCATTTTTCCATCAGCACGTGATCACTTTGTGTCTCTGTGTCACATTTTGGCAGTTCTTGCAATATTTCAAATGTTTCCATTATTTTATTTTATTTTTTATTTTTGAGGCAGAGTCACCCACTGTCGCCCAGGCTGGAGTGCAATGGTGCAGTCTCGGCTCACTGCAAGCTCCGCCTCCTGGGTTCACACCATTCTCCTGCCTCAGCCTCCTGAGTAACTGGGACTACAGGAGCTCACCACCACGCCTGGCTAATTTTTTGTATTTTTAGTAGAGACGGGGTTTCACCGTGTCAGCCAGGATGGTCTCGGATCTCCTGACCTCAGGATCCGCCCGCCTTGGCCTCCCAAAGTGCTGGGATTACAGGCGTGAGCCACCGCGCCTGGCCTTCATTATTATTATACTTCTTAACAGTGATCTGTAATCAGTGGTCTTTGATGTTACTGTTGGAATTGTCTTGGGGCACAACAGACTATGCACCCCCATAGAAGGTGAACTTAATTGATATAAAGGTTGTATGTTCTGACTATTCCAACAACCAGCCATTTCCCCATCTCTCTGCTTGGGCCTCCCTCCTCCCTGAGACACAACAATATTTAAACTAGGCCAATTCTGGGCACAGTGGCTCATGCCTGTAATCCCAGCACATTGGGAGGCCAAGATTGGCAGATCACTTGAGGTCAGGAGTTCAAGTCCGGTCTGGCCAACATGGTGAAAACCGTCTCTACTGAAAATACAAAAATTAGCTGGGTATGGTGGCAGGCGCCTGTCATCCCAGCCACTTGGGAGACTGAGGCAGAAGAATTGCTTGAACCCGAGAGGCAGATGTTGCAGTGAGCTGAGATCACACCACTGCACCCCGGCCTGGGCAAAAGAGCAAAACTCTGTCTCAAGAAAAAAAAAGAAGAAACTAAGCCAATTAATAATAACCCTACAGTAGCCTCTAAGTGTTCAAGTGAAAGGAAGAATTGCACATATCTCACTTTAAGTCAAAAGCTAGAAATAATTAAGCTTAGTGAGGAAAGCATATTGAAAGCCCAGATAGACCAGAAGCTGGGCCTCTTGTGCCAAACAGCCAAGTTGTGAATGCAAAGGAAGGGTTCTTGAAGGAAATTAAAAGTCCTATTCCAGTGAACACATGTGATAAGAAAGCAAAACAGTCTCATTGCTGATATGGAGAAAATTTTAGTGGTCTGGCCAGATCATACCAGCCACAACATTCCTTTAAACCAAAGCCTAATCCAGAGCAAGGCTCCTAACTCTCTTCAATTCTGTGAATGCTGATAGAGGTGAGGAAGCTGCAGAAAGAGTTGGAAGCTAGCAGATGAGTCCATGAGTTTTAAGAAAAGAAACTGTTTCCATAACATAAAGGCAAGGCTGCAAGTGCTGATGTAGAAGCTGCAAGAAGTTATCTGGAAATTAACATCATTGATGAAAAGGGTCACGCTAAACAACAGATTTTCCGGCTGGGCGCGGTGGCTCAAGCCTGTAACCCCAGCACTTTGGGAGGCTGAGGCGGGAGGATCACGAGGTCAGGAGTTCGAGACCAGCCTGGCCAATATGATGAAACCCCATTTCTACTAAAAATACAAAAATTAGCCAGACGTGGTGGCGCCCATCTGTAGTCCCAGCTACTTGGGAGGCTGAGGCAGAAGAATCGCTTGAACCCAGAAGGCGGTTCAGTGGTTGAGTGGTTCAGAGATTGCAGTGAGCTGAGATTGCACCGTTGTACTCCAGCCTGGGAAACAGAGCGAGACTGTCTCAACAACAAAACAAAAAAACCGCTAGGCTGGTCTCGAACTCCTGACCTCAAGTGATCCACTTGCCTTGGCCTCCCAAAGTGCTGGGATTACAGATGGGAACCACCATGCCCAGCCAGCAACCACCATCTTGATCAGTCAGCAGCAATCGACATTGAGACGAGACCCTCCACCAGCAAAAAGATTACAATTTACTGAAGACTCGGATGATTGTTGGCATTTTTTTAGCAGTAAAGTTTTTTAAAATTAATGTACTTTTTGTTTTTTTAGACATAATGGTGTTGCACACTTGATAGACTGCAGTATAGTATAAACATTATATGTACTGGGAAACCAAAAAAATGGGTGGCTTTGTTAATTGCAATATTAGCTTTATTGTACTTGTCTGGAATAAAATCTGCAGTGTTTCTGAGGTATGTCTATATTAGGTTAAATGAAATATATTTTACCTTTGAGTTTTACTTTTTAAATGTAGCTGTTAGAAAATTTGAAGTTACTTATGTGAGTTGCATTGTATTTCTGTTGGACAGCATCTGTGTTGTTACAGCCTATCATCACTTAAGTCAAAATTTATACAAAGAATAGTATGCTCTAACAAAAAAACTTCAACTGTGGCATTGGCTTGAGAGTCAGGCAGCAAGGAAACTGATGTTAGATGCTAGGAACATTATGATGCAGAGAACAATATTATATAAAACTTTCCTGCAATAACTTGGAAGGCAAGTAGTATACCTAATGCATTTGTAGCTTTTGGGATAAGGTTGGAAAACAAATTGTATTTTAACTGGTACTGGTTTCATTTGACAAGGTGTTATACAACGGAAAGAGATGAGCTAGAAAATAATTGTTTAGTTTCCAAGTATGAATGAAAAGCAATACAAAGGGTCCAGAAATTTGGGAATTTGTAGGATTAGAAGAAGCAGTTGCTGCTGCTCCTTTTTTTTTTTTCCTTTTTAAATAAATTAGAGACACAGTCTCCCTGTGTTGCCCAGGCTAGTCTCAAATTCCTGGGCTCAAGCAATCCTCCCACCTTGGCCTCCCAGAGTGCTGGGATGAGCCACTTTGCCTGACCAGTAATTGCTTTTTACCTCCAATCAGTAGGAGACACAACTGAAAAGGCTTTTGAGTAAATAATTGAAATCCATTTTTTTGGCAGGATCCAGTCAGGGTTATGAACATCACTTCCATTGTTAAAATGTCTGAAAGGATTAAGGTAATTCAGAGTAAAGGCCAACTTGAGAGGGAATTGCTTTTCAGTTGGGTTAGGGGAAAGAGACTAAAAGGTATGGATTCCCTGCTAAAGCCAGGTAAACTCAAAGTACCCATAGTTAGGTAGAGAGAAACAGACACATTGTCTCATGGGGCAAGAAAGCGAAGAAAAGTAGTAAATCTAAGAGGCATATCTTAGAAAAAAGCTTTGGTTCTGGACATTGGCGCTTGAAACTGGATAGTATCAAATAGATAAGCCTTCTAATTTTTTCAGGGAGAGGCATAGCCAGAAGTCTGAATAAAGTATAACTGCTTGATACATAATGATCTTGCTCTCTGCCCCGTGCCTGCCTAACCTATTTGCTTCCTGAGAATTCTGCTCTGCTAAGGAGTCACTTTCTGATGTCCACTTCACTTTTAGCGGTAGAAGATAACAGACCAGGAAAAGCCTTCCAGAAGGCAGAACCTAGAGGCACAGAGAACAGCACACTTAGAAACTCCTCCCAGGGGTCAATCAGAGCATTCCCCACCTTCCAGGACAGAGAGCCCTTGCACAGTCTGTTCAGCCTGGCTTATGAATTGCTATGAACGACTGACTGTTGTCTTATTTTCTTCTTTTGAACTGGAGCATTTTTTATATTCTGTCAGTATGTATTGTGTGTTTGAAGGGAGGTAGATTACTTGTTTTAATAGGTCTCTGTGAAGAGGGGCTGCATCTGGACTTGATATAGAGGTGATTTCCCCATCAACACAGATCCTGTCCTTTGAACTTACTGCTGAGATTGGATGGGATATTTGGGTTGCCTTC